AAGATAGAAAAATGAAAGCTTTAATTTCAAACAATATGTAATTTATCTTGTTAGGAATCAATTGGTGGAACAGGCACATTCATTTCCCAACTAGTCCAACTCTAATTCCTGACCATCCTATCCTCTATTTATATTCTTCATTAAACATATGTAAGAATTGACCATGTTGGTGCATTATATCACAATATCTGCAACAGATGGTTTCTATACAGTCTGTATTAGATATGCCGAGGTCTCTAGGTTTCCCATACCATCTATTAACCAACTGACCACCAAAAGTCCATGGCAATGACACATTCAACATACAAAATTCCACTAAACCCTGTGCCATAACTGTTACATTTGTGTATAAAAAAAACAAAAATTATCCCTAAGGTTAAAAAAAAGACATTAGGATTAAACTAACAACATCTGTTCACACATAATAATACTGCTAATTATTATACTGAATCAGCCAGGGGCTGGAAAAACTATACATGTATCAAATATATACAATTATGTTCTATTTAAGGCACTTGCCGTCACATAGATCAGTCAAAACATGATACACAACAGAGAGCAGTGTTTGGTCGGTAGGTTTCTACAGCAGCTGATATAAGATTGAAGTTTACATATGCACTCAGAGTGGCGATAATGCACTTGTAATAAATCCATTTACATGTAAATGTACTTTAGTTCTATTAATATAAATATAAATTGCATGTTAAAAAAACAATAAAGGAATGAATAATAGCCGAGACATTTTATTGAATAAAGATAGCAGGAAAAGATTAACATATACATGAATTGCGCCCTCTGTGGTAGTGGTTGAGATAATGTTATTTAGGCTTGAGGATACGACTAAGCAAAAAGACCTCAACATTAAGACAAATTCAATGTTAACCTCTGAACTTTGACCTCTGTAGTTATATGCACATATAAACTACACATAACCCATTTACTCTCTAAGAATTACATTCTCTAATATAAAAGATAAATTATTTCAGCTTTATTTAGAATCAGTCTACACACACACACACACGCACGCATGCATGCACGCAGGCAGGCAGGCAGGCATGCACGCACACACACACACACACACACACACTGCACAATAGACAGTTCAATTTGTTTTGTCCCATAGTTACAAAACCAGAAGCATAGGGGTAAAAATGTTTGATTTTCAACAAATAATTTAGCCAAAATACCAGTGACATTTGTTTAACCCTTATCCTGTCAGTCCCATGTACATTTACATTGACTTGACCATAAAAAGGCCAAAACAGCCATAGAGCCAACAAATATTGCAAAACAGTTGTACCTTATTGGCTACCCAACCCTAACAGTCAGACCAATCAGAGAGCAGCTTGTTTGCTTTGTTGAAACAAAGTACCAAATTCTGCCTTAGGTATATGCTTCAACTCAAATACAATATCAGCATAACATCACACTGACTCAGGCAGATCTATTTCCCAGGTCATTCAAGTTAAGCATCACATGGTAGTTGACTCCTACTGTACATGTAGTTTACATATACATTGTACACATACACATATACATACGCATACATATACACATACATACGCATACACATACATATATACATACGCATACATATACACATATACATATGCATACATATACACATACATGCACATACATATACATACGCATACATATACACATACGCATACGCATACACATACATGCACATACATACGCATACATATACACATATACATACGCATACATATACACATACATGCACATACATACGCATACATATACACATATACATACGCATACATATACACTTATACATACGCATACATATACACATACATGCACATACATATACACATACATGCACATACACACGCATACATATACATATGCATACATATACACATACATGCACATACATATACACATACATGCGCATACATATACATACGCATACATATACTGTAAAAACTTCAAAATTTCGACCCCTCTAAAAATTCGGACCACCTAATTATTTGCCGGGTTTCGGGATTTTATTTACCTCCAAATTTTCGACTCCACTAAAAATTGCCGACTCATTCTTATTCGAAAATTGCAACCAGTTTTAGTTTTCCCCCAAACGAAAAAAAAAAAAAACGATGTGAGCGTTCAAACGGGACCTTCCCCGAAGGCATGAATCCGGGTTTCTGATTGACTGAGAGATTTTTATTTTATTGGTAACGAAAATATATTCTAAATAAACGAAGTTTCAAATAAAAACGAACACAAAAATCTCGGCACGCTGCGTTTCTGAATTGTTGATTATTACTCAGTAGTGATTATAATAATGTACACAAAATAAATTTGTTGAATTGTTATGAAATACAAATAAAAGTCAACTTAGTTTCATCGTAAGCGAATAATTCCGGTCTCGTATAAACGTTTGATGCTGTAGGATATCCGCCATGTTCTCTTAGGTCAAATAGGTCAAATCGCTAATTAACCAATCAAAAAGCTGAATGATGCCAACGTGTTCAAATTACCATAGCTTATTTAAATATGTTAATGTTATTGAACGCAATGCGGAAGAGATTGATGTTGTAGTACGATCTTTTGGCTTGGATTTTGATGCAAAAACGGCATGATTTTTTTTAAATAAAAAAATTAGTTTTTAAAAAATAAACTGGGCATCTGAAGAATAATTTAATTGTTCACAGTGATAACAGCTCATTCTCGAAAGGAAGCTTACCCGCTCACGCTAGTCATGATAAAAATCCTACACATGTACTCTTGAATAGACGTCAATGACTACGGTAAAACTTAGATTCTATTTTAGCCGACAGGATTGATTGAAATGTCAAACAAAAAAATG